CTCAGAATAAAACAGAAAAGCTTCCTTTTCAGTCTTTGATTTGCAACCTTACCTTTCACATACGAATTCCTAAAATTCTGTTTTAGAGAGAAAGGCAAAAGATAGCACGCACTCATTTAATGCTAAACGTAGAGAGATGCATTTAACTTGAAACCCATTATTGCTATTCCTTGCCTTTACTATAATTTCAGACTGCATCTTGATTTACAAGCATCAATTTCATAAAACTGCTCAGTGGTCCTCTGAGGTCAAATAAGTATTGCCAAAGCAACGTTCAGAATAGCTAGCAATTTAAGCAGATCCCTTTTGCTTCTGTGGTTAAAGGGTGTTTAATACTTTAACTGCCAAGATTCCTCTACACTAATTCAAAATATTTAAGTTTAAAGTGGACTAAGCAGTTGCATTGCTTGTGTGTTACTATGATATCCTGTACTTGCTTGTATCAAAGCGTTTCTTTCGTACAGAAGAAGAATTAGGAAAAAAGTATTAAGATGCTTATAAAATTTATGATTTAAATAAGAGTATTAAAAAATACTCATTAATACACTCTGTGCAGAAAGTACTTACTAAAAGTTAGTAACTTCAGTAAGCATATGCAAAACACTTTCTCTAATCACTTTCAGGTTCAGCTGAAAAACTTTAGTTGTAACATGTAAACGTGTCAATATAGCCAGAAGCAGCAGAAAAAAAATCACCTCAAACAACGAAACTTACTAAATTTTGATAAAATTTTAAGCAAATGAATAATTAACTGAAAACAAACCTTTATAATAAACACTTTTGTTGCAATTAGCAAAGTAGCTTCTAGCAAAAAATGACAAAATAATTTGTTGATAAGCTAATTGTTCGATTAAACATAAAGACAAATGTAAAAAAATAAAATCCCATCACATATAAAATACAAATAACATTAAAATGCAGTCACAAAGAACATGGAAAAGGCATTCCACATGTGCAGATTTTCTTCTAGTTTCATAAAGTTCTCTGCTCATTAACTTACCCCTCCTAGCTCTTTGAGGTCCTTTCCTATTTTTTCAGATATCACATTTGATGGAATATCAAGGTAAAACACCTTCCCAGTGAGTGGCTTGTATTTAAGTTTCTCTGGTTTTCCTGTATCTTTTTTCACATTCTTCAGAGAAGATCTTATCTTTTCTGTTTTTGCTTGCATTCCATCTGCTGCAAAAAGAAAAGGGAATTTAAACAGGACTGTGTTTTAGGAACTGTGTTTATTTTTTTCTTTTCAAAAAGGAAAATTCCTAAATTATGGAAGTGGACAAGGCAAGCTTCCATGCAATATAGGACTTTTAAAAAATAGCTGTATGTTATACATGTCAAAAATAAGACATTAATAATACCACCACATATAGCCCTTAAAAGTTTCTTCTTAAAAATCATATCCTAAAATGGACTTTTTATTTCATCACTATACAATGCCATAAATTTTCTCACCCAGTTTGGCAAGTATTTGCTATCTCTGTACCACAATACATACACTACTTGCACAGTCACTGAGAATCACAAGAACACCATTTCAGAACAGAATCTCTCTTACTCATCTGAAACAAAAAGGATTCATATAGACTCATTAGAACAAAAAACGGTCAAAAGTAACTGAAACACCAAAAAAGACTTAGATCCTACTATTTATCTGAATTTTGAGCACCCGTCTGAGATGCACGAAAACTAAGCTTAAAGTTCAGAACCATTCTAGTTATGACCATTCTTTCTGTCACAATGAATTTTACTCTAAAACTAAGAAACCACATACAGCAATTAGACTGTGCTGATGAACTTTCCTGATGCTCAACACAGAGCTATCCACGCAGGCCTAACTGTTAGACTAGACACTTAAATAAGCAAATAAAAAAAAAATTCAGTCTGCGTGAGAAATAAGCCTCATTTCTCAAGGGAAATCTTGGAGTGTCGTAGAGTTCTATGAGAACATCAGCTCAATACTGAGTAGCAATCAAAAAAGAAAAAAATTAGAAATTGCTAAAAAACAGAAAAGAAAATGGTAATTTTATTATGCTACTTCATAAATACAGGACTCGGCCACATCTTTACAGCCTGCAAAAGAGTAACAAGGATGATCAAAGGCATGAAGAATGACCTTGTACATTAAGACTTCATCAGTCTGTAAGGTAAATTATTTAGGGGAAAAAGAATACAGATACACAAAATCAAGAAAAACAGAGAGAACGGCTAAACAGCCTATTCCAGTAGAAAAGCTACAGGGCACCAAACAAAACTAGGAGTGAGGTACAAAATGAAAAACAGGAATTGGTTCTCTATGCAACAGGGCAACCCTGTGTAGCTTGCTGCCAAAGAATGTTGTCGATACTAAGATGCGATTTCTAGGGGAGGCTGCATAAGTACAAGGAAGAGGAATACTTTGAGGGGTCCTAAATGCACAGAAGTGACATGCAACCCATGAAGTCCCTGTAGCTAAACATAGCTGGAAACCAGAATAATATTATTAGGTGAAAGTAATTATACCTTCTCTGTTCTTACATACTTCCACAGGAATCCATTTACAACCAATGACAGAGACAGAATCATCCAAGACTTGCACATCATTAGTTTTACACTGTCTTTTCTCCCCCACTGACTGACACCCTACTCCCAGTTGCTCCTCTTCTGGAGAAGCTCAAAACAGACAATGAGGGCTGCTGCAGGAAGTAAGCAGGCCTCTTCTGGAGACAAAAAGCCAATATGCAAAACGGTCCCTCTGTTATGTATTCTCTCCCTCCCTGAAATGGTCTTAGATGGGAGAGGGAGCAGAACCACCACTCATGCTGCAAGATTCTGTAAGTAATGGTTATGAACACACGTAAGTGAAGCAGGAACAGCAATCAGCTTTGTAGAATCTGGGAGACCAAAAGAATTAGAGAAATAGGAAAATGGGAAGGCTTATGATAGTGTAACTTATTCAGAATCTAAACAGAAAAGATGGATGATAAGCAGGTGTGCAAGTGAAATTCCATAGATGACCAGGGACCAAATATGGTGTTATACCCAGCACACACATGTGATGGCCAGGGCAGCTCAAAAATTAACACACTAAATACCAGAATGAATATCGGAAAATACATATTAAACTTCTTAGGGATAATAAAAAAATTTGGAGTGAGTTAGCAGTACTGCAATAACAGTAAAGAGTCTCTCTCATAAAGCAACTGCATTTTAATACCCTGGGCCTAACGTACTGAGGAGGCCTTCCATGCATGCTCCTGATACCAGCAAAGATGTGCCTGGGTGGAGCAGTTTGCACGGCAGTGGCCTAGCGAATTTCAACATAGCTACTAGCTTCTTTGCACTGCAAGCATCTTGTAGATGAACAGAGCAAGTTAGCTAGCTACCTTTTCAGTTACACACTTTTACGTTTAAGTGCCCAAACCACGCAAAGGTTATTTCAGCTGTCCACCCCTAATAAAGCTAGCCCAAGGCATGCTTACCCGCTAGCCTGACAGAGGCAAGAGGCCCAAACCCAGCACCAGGCTGACTGCGGGGGCTCTCAACGAGAGCCAGGAAGGCGACACCGGCACCAGGCCGCGGCTGAAAGCGACCCCGCTGACGGTGGGAAAGGCTTGAACACCCCCTACCCCGAGCTCCGAGCCGGAGCGCGGCTGTTGCCCCCCCCC